CTGTCACCCAGGCTTGAGTTTAGTGGCACCATCATAGCTCACTGCAGCCTCGAACTCCTGGGCCCAAGTCATCCTCCTGCCTCAGCCTCCTGAGTAGCTAAGACTACAGGTGTGCACCACCACATCCAGCAAATTTTTATTTATTTATTTTATTTCTTACTGACAAGGGTCTTGCTATGTTGCCTAAGCTAGTCTCAACTGCCTGGCCTCAAGTGATCCTCCTGTCTCAGCCTCCCAAAGTGCTTGAATTACAGGTGTGAGCCACTTCACCTGGCCTGTTTTTCATTTTTACTTTTTTTTTTTTTTTTGAGACAGAGTTTCGATCTTGTCACTCAGGCTGGAGTGCAAGGGCACAATCTCGGTTCACTGCAACCTCAGCCTCCCAGGTTCAAGCAATTCCTTTGCCTCAGCCTCCCAGTAGCTGGGATTACAGGCGTGCGCCACCATGCCCATCTAATTTTTGTATTTTTAGTAGAGACGGGGTTTCACCATGTTGGCCAGGCTGGTCTCAAACTCCTGACTTCAAGTGACCTGTCCACCTTGGCCTCCCAAAGTGCTGGGATTACAGGCATGGGCAACTATGCCCGGACTTAATTGTAGTTTTCATACCTAAGAGGTCCACAATCATTTACTGAAAATCCATGGGCCAGGCCCAGTGGTTCATGCCTGTAATCCCAGCACTTTGGGAGGCCAAGGCAGGTGGATCACCTGAGATCAGGAGCGCAAGACCAACCTGGCCAACATGGTGCAACCCCATCTCTACTGGAAAAAAAAAGTACAAAACTTAGTTGGGTGTAGTGGCATGCGCCTGTAATCCCAGCTACTCGGGAGGCTGAGGCAGGAGAATTGCTTGAGCTCCAGAGGTGAGGGTTGCAGTGAACCGAGATCGCGCTATTGCACTCCAGCCTGAGCGACAGAGCGAGACTCCATAAAAAAAAAAAAAAAGAAAAGAAAAATCCATGAGGAATCCATGAGGACACATATTTTTCAGAATTCAGAATATTTCAAATTTTAGAAAGTTCATACAATGATACTTTAACACAGGAGTCCCCAACCCCTGGGCTGCACATCAGTACCAGTCAGTTGCCTACTAGGAACCCGCCGAACAGCAGGAGGTAAGCCACGGGCCAGGGAGCATTATCACCTGAGCTCAGATCAGCCCCGCATTAGATTCTCATAGGAGCACAAACCCTGTTGTGAATTGTGTGTGCGAGGGATCTCAGTTGCCTGCTCCTTATGAGAATCTAACTAATGCCTGATGATCTGAGGTGGAGCAGTTTCAACCGGAAACAGTTCCCTGAATCCGTGGAAAAACTGTCTTCCACAAAACTGGTCCCTGGCGCCAAATAGGTTGGGGAACACTGTCTAATGCAATACTGCCTGTTAGGTAACATCCCCAGTGGGGTCTGGAACAGTACTCTGTAATCAGACACATTCGTACTTCTGAAGCAATATGTATGAATATTCACCCAGAATGGGATAACTACTATTGTATAAACAGCCCCTTGTTGGTTCAGATTTTGCTACCCAATGAGTATTGTCCTCAAAATTATTACTATTATTATTATTATTATTATTTTGAGACGGAGTCTCACTCTGTTGCCCAGGCTGGAGTGCAATGGTGTGATCTCGGTTCACTGCAACCTCTGCCTCCCAGGTTCGAGCAATTCTTCTGCCTCAGCCTCCCGAGTAGCTGGGATTACAGGCATGCACCACCACACCCAGCTAATTTTGTATTTTTAGTAGAGACGGGGTTTCTCCATGTTGAGGCTGGTCTCAAACTCCTGACCTCAGGTGATCTGCCTGCCTCGGCCTCCCAAAGTGCTGAGATTACAGGTGTGAGCCACCGCACCCAGCCATTTTTGCATTTTTAGTAGAGACAGGGTTTCACCATGTTGGCCAGGCTGGTCTCAAATTCCTGTCCTTAAGTGATCCACCTGCCTTGGCCTCCCAAAATTCTGGGATTACAGGCAAGAACCACCATGCCCGACTAACAATACTTCACTTTAGAATGTACATGTTGTTTGGTTTGTTGTCCTTCACCTGGACTCCCTAGGTGTCTGATGATTTTGGCCTGGGAGCTTATATTCCGCTGTGGGGTCTCAGCCATTCCATCTGGTAGAGGATGTTGGGAAAGCTCTGAAGGCTGTGTCACCCAGTCTATGGTAGTCCTGTGAGTTCCAGGAAAGAACCCTAAGGCAGAGAGCAGCACATCACACGACTAATCACTGCCATTTGCTGCCACCCACCAAGACATTTAAGCCCTTTAAACTCATAGGGAGAAGCAGGTGGGGAGGAGGTAATTTCCCGGCCCTGGGGTTTTGGAAAGAGGAAATGGCAGAGTGGTGCCAAGGTGATTCAGTCCCCTTCTGTTCTCATCAGATCCTCTCCTGGCAGGACTTCTGTACTCTGCTGATATTAGAGGTAGTGGTAATTATTTGTTTTTATGAAACAGGTCATAAAAGTGATAAAAGTAATCTAGAAGACATTTGCAATGATTTGTTTTTATAAAAATGGAATCATATGGCCGGGCACTGTGGCTCACGCCTGGGCACTGAGGCTCACGCCTGTAACCTCAGCACTTTGGGAGGCTGAGGTGGGCGGATCACGAAGTCAGGAGATTGAGACCATCCTGGCTAATATGGTGAAACCCCGTCTCTACTAAAAATACAAAAAATTAGCCGGGCATGGTGGTGGGCACCTGTAGTCCCAGCTGCTTGGGAGGCTGAGGCAAGAGAATGGCATGAACCCAGGAGGCAGAGCTTGCAGTGAGCCGAGATCGTGCCACTGCACTCTAGCCTGGGCGACAGAGTGAGACTCCATCTCAAAAAAAAATGGAATCATACTATAACATCATTCTGCACCCAGCTTTTTTTTTTCTCTTATCAATATACATAAATAGAACCCATTCTTTTTTTTTTTCTTTTCTTTTTTTTTGAGATGGAGTCTCGCACTGTTGCCTGGGCTGGAGTGCGATGGTGCTATCTCGGCTCACTGCAACCTCCGCCTCCCGGGTTCAAGCAATTCTCCTGCCTCAGCCTCCTGAGTAGCTGGGATTACAGGTGCCCAGCACTACACCTGGCTATTTTTTTTATTTTTATTTTTATTTTTGTATTTTTAGTGAGATGGGGTTTAACTATGTTTGCCAGGCTGGTCTCGAACTCCTGACCTGATGATTCGCCCTCCTCAGTCTCCCAAAGTGCTGGGATTACAGGCATGGGCAATCATGCCCAGCCAGAACCCATTCTTTTTAACAGCAGCACAAAACTGCACAGTATTTTCTGGTATGGATGCACCATCATTTATTCAATGGTTCTCTCTTTGGTGAACATTCAAGTTGTCCTCTTTTTTTTTTTTTTTTTTTTTTTTGAGACGGAGTCTCGCTCTGTCGCCCAGGCTGGAGTGCAGTGGCCGGATCTCAGCTCACTGCAAGCTCCGCCTCCCGGGTTCATGCCATTCTCCTGCCTCAGCCTCCCGAGTAGCTGGGACTACAGGCGCCCGCCACCTCGCCCGGCTAGTTTTTTTGTAGTTTTTTAGTAGAGACGGGGTTTCACCGTGTTAGCCAGGATGGTCTCGATCTTCTGACCTCGTGATCCGCCCGTCTCGGCCTCCCAAAGTGCTGGGATTACAGGCTTGAGCCACCGCGCCCGGCCCAAGTTGTCCTCTTTTTTAACCCCTTCAGACAGGTTTGTATCTGGGACTATATTCCCTTACACAATAGTGTGCTCATTTCTGTAAGACAGCTTTCCCAGTGCATTACGGAAGTATACATAAGAGGTACCGTTAACACTAATTACTTCTAGGAATGGGACAGAGAAGGGAAAGGTGGATACTTTTTACTTTCCACTGAATACCCATTAAGACTTTATATCTGGAATGTGAACAAATTTTACAATATTAAAAATAATTAAAGCACAACAATGTGAATGTACTTGGTGCCACAGAAGTGTGTACTTAAAAATGGTTAGAAGAGTAAATTTTATGTTATGTATATTTTATCATTTAAAAATATAAATATGGCCAGGTGCAGTGGCTCATGCCTGTAGTCCCTGCACTTTGGGAGGCTGAGGTGGGTGGATCACTTGAGCCCAGGAGTTCAAGACCAGCCTAGGCAACATGGCAAAACCAAAAAAAAAGAAAAAAGAAAAGAAATACAAGAAAGTTAGCTGGGCATGGTGGCGCACACCTGTTATCTCAGTTACTCAAGAGACTGAGGCAGGAGGATGTCTTGAGCCCTCGAGGTTGAAGCTACAGCAAGCGGAGATCATGCCACTGCACTCTAGCCTGGGCAGCAGAACAAGACTCTGTCTCAAAAAAAAAAAAAAAAAAAAAAAAAAATATATATATATATATATATATATGGTGCGATCTCAGCTCACTGCAACTTCTGCCTCCTGGGTTCAAGGGATTCTCCTGCCTCAGCCTCCCGAGTAGCTGGGATTACAGGCATGCACCACCACACCCGGCTAATTTTTTTTGTATTTTTAGTAGACGGGGTTTCTCCATGTTGGTCAGCTGGTCTGGAACTCCCGACCTCAGGTGATCCACCCGCCTCAGCCTCCCAAAGTGCTGGGATTACAGGCGTGAGCCACCGCGCCCTTGTCTTTTCAACAAGTGGTGCTGGAGCTATTGGATATCCATAGATAAAACTAATAAACAAAAAATTTGACCTAAACCTCATACCTTATACAAAAGTGATTTCGAATGGGTCAAAGATTTAAATGTAAAATTATAAAACTTTTATAAGCTAACTGGAAGAAAATATCTGGGATATAGGGCTTAGTGAAAAGCTATTAGACATGATACCAAAAGTATGATCTATAAAAGAAAAAAACAATAAACTGAGGTTTTGGCTGGGTGCAGTGGCTCATGCCTGTAATCCCAGCATTTTGGAAGGCTGAGGCAGGCAGATCACCTGAGGTTGGGAGTTCAAGACCAGCCTGGCCAACATGGTGAAACCCTGTCTCTATTAAAAATACAAAATTAGGCCGCGGGGACCATGTTGCTTCCGAACATCCTGCTCACTGGTACACCAGAGGTTGGAAAAACTACACTAGGCAAAGAACTTGCATCAAAATCGGGACTGAAATACATTAATATTGGTGATTTAGCTTGAGAGGTCTGATCATCGGATATCATGGAGTCTGGCAAGGTGGCTTCTCCCAAGAGCATGCCGAAAGATGCACAGATGATGGCACAAATCCTGAAGGATATGGGGATTACAGAATATGAGCCAAGAGTTATAAATCAGATGTTGGAGTTTGCCTTCCGATATGTGACCACAATTCTAGATGATGCAAAAATTTATTCAAGCCATGCTAAGAAAGCTACCGTTGATGCAGATGATGTGCGATTGGCAATCCAGTGCCGCGCTGACCAGTCTTTCACCTCTCCTCCCCCAAGGGATTTTTTATTAGATATCGCAAGACAAAGAAATCAAACCCCTTTGCCACTGATCAAGCCATATTCAGGTCCTAGGTTGCTACCTGATAGATATTGCTTAACAGCTCCAAACTATAGGCTGAAATCTTTACAGAAAAAGGCATCAACTTCTGTGGGAAGAATAACAGTCCGGCGGTTAAGTGTTGGTTCAGTTACTAGCAGACCAAGTACTCCCACACTAGGCACACCAACCCCACAGACCATGTCTGTTTCAACTAAAGTAGGGACTCCCATGTCCCTCACAGGTCAAAGGTTTATAGTACAGATGCCTACTTTGCAGTCTCCAGCTGTAAAAGCTTCAATTCTTGCAACCTCAGCAGTTCAGAATGTTCTAATTAACCCATCATTAATTGGGTCCAAAAACATTCTTATTACCACTAATATGGTGTCATCACAAAATACTGCCAATGAATCATCAAATGCATTGAAAAGAAAACGTGAAGATGATGATGATGACGATGATGATGACAATGACTATAATTTCTAATCTAGCTTTGCTGCATGTAACATGTATACTTGGTCTGAATTCATTGTACTGATATTAAACATGCATGCTGGATGTTTTCAAGTTGTGTTTTAGAAAACTTTAATAATATTTAATAAGTAAATACAGTTACCATACTTTTCAATTGAAATGAAGGTTTTTCATCAGCCTTAAAAGTGTAAGAAAAATAAAGCTGTCATTCATTACTTTAAAAAAAAAAACAAAAAACAAAAACAAAATTAGCCAGGTGTGGTGATGGATACCTGTAATCCCAGCTCCTCAGGAGGCTGAGGCAGGAGAATCACTTGAACCCGGGAGGCAGAGGTTATAGTGAGCTGAGATCTCATCATTGCACTCCAGCCTGGGCAAAAAGAATGAAACTCCATCTCAAATAAATAAATAAATAAATAAATAAACAAACAAACAAACTGAGGTTTGGATTTGTGTTGGTGAGGCTGTGAGGAAATAGAAACCCTTACACATTGCTGATGGAAATGTAAAATTGTCCAACTGGTGTGGAAAACTTCAACAAGTTAAACACAAAATTATTCTCTGAGCTAGCAATTCTGTTCCTGGGTGTACACCTGAAAGAACTGGAAACAGTTGTTCAAACAAGAACTTACACACCAGTGTTCATAGCAGCATTTTTCACAATAGCCAAAAGGTGGAAACAACCCAAACTTCTATTTACAGATAGATGGATAAATAAAATGTGGAATATCCATACAATGGAATATTATTTAGCCATAAAAAGGAATGAACTGGCAGGGCGCAGTGGCTCACGTCTGTCATTCCAGCAATTTGGGAGGCCAAGGTGGGCAGATCACCTGAGGTCGGGAGTCTGAGACCAGCCTGACCAACATGGAGAAACCCATCTCTACTAAAAATACAAAAAAATTAGCCGGGTGTGGTGGCGCATGCCTGTAATCCCAGCTACTCGGGAGGCTCAGGTAGGCAAATCGCTTGAACCTGGGAGGCAGAGGTTGCGGTGAGCCGAGATCGTGCCACTGCACTCCAGTCTGGGCAACAAGAGTGAAACTCTGTCTCAAAAAAAAAAAAAAAAAAAAGGAATAAACTGATTCATACTACAATGTGGATGAATGTTGAAAACATTATACTAAATGAAAGAAGCCAGACACAAAAAGTCATATATTATAGGATTCCATTTATATGAAATATACAGAATAGGCAAAGCTACAGCGACAGCCATATTAGTGGTTTTTAGGAACTGGGAAGAGGGGAAACAGGGAGTGACTGCTTAATGGATACAAGGCTTCCTTTCGGGGTGATGAAAATGTTCTGGAGCTAGACAGTGGTGAATGATTGCACAGTATTGTGAATGGGGCCGGGCGTGGTGGCTCACGCCTATAATCCCAGCACTTCAGGAGGCCAAAGCGGGCAGGTCGCCTGAGCTCAGGAGTCTGAGACCAGCCTGGCTAACATGGTGAAACTCCATTTCTAATAAAAATATAAAATTACCCACGTGTGGTGGCGGGTGCCTGTAATCCCAGCTACTTGGGAGGCTGAGGCAGAAGAATCGCTTGAACCCAGGAGCCTGAGGTTTCAGTGATCCCAGATGGCTCCATTGCACTCCAGCCTGGGCGACAGAGTGAGATTCCATTTCAAAAAAAAAAAATTAATCAATCAATCACTATTGCGAATATGCTAAATATCACTAATGGCAAATTTTACGTCGTGTATATTTTACCACAATAAAAAATAGTGCATTTTACTACATGTAAATTATACCTCAATAAAACTGATGTAATATATTATTTAGGTAATTAATGGATGCTAAAACTGGTGGGTGAAATTTTGATGAAGATTAGGATAGTTACATACAATCAAATTGTCTCTCTACAAATGTACTTATTTAATTATAAAAAAAAAATAGTAGCATTATAGTGGAGAAATCTGGCAAGCAGCAACCATGATGGTTAATTATATGTGTCAACTTGGAGTGTTTTTGAATGAGATTAACACTGAAATTGGTGAATTTTGAGTAAAGCACATTGTCCTCCAGAATGTGGGTGGGTATATGAGTCACAATTCTCATTTGTGAGAGACAGAACCAATAGGAGATAGATGATGGATGGATGGATGGATGGATGGACAGATAAATAGATAAATGGATGAGAGAGGATTTATTAGGCAAACTAGCTCACATGACTATGGAGGCTGAGCAATCCCACGGCCAGCCCTCTGCAAGCTGGAAACCCGGGGATGTGGCAGTCCAAGTCCAAGTCCAAGTCCGAAGGCCTAGAGCCAGGGAAGCCAATGGTGTAAGTCTCAGTTTGAGGCCATCGACAACCTGAGAACCTGGGAGGCCTCCGGTGTAAGTCCCAAGGCCAGAGAGCCTAGAGTTCTGATGTCTAAGGGCAGGAAAAGGAGTGTCCCAGCTCCAGGAGAGGGAGACAGGGGAAATTTTTTTCTCTCCTTTTTTCTTCTATCTGGGCCACCAGCAGATTGGATGGTACCCTGCCACATTGAGGGCAGATCTTCCCTACTCAGTCTACTTACTCACATGCCAATCTCTTCTAGAAACACCCTCACAGATGCACCCAGAAGGAATGTTTTACCACTTCTCTAGTCTTCAATTTTTCAGACTATAGTCAGCCTTCTTTTTTTTTTTTTTTTTTTTGAGATGGAGTCTCATTCTGTCACCCAGGCTGGAGTGCAGTGGCATGATCTCGGCTCATGGCAACCTCCACCTCCTGGACTCAAGCAATTCTCTCACCTCAGCTGGGATTACAGGTGTGCACCACCACACCCGTAAATTTTTGTATTTTTAGTAGAGACGGGGTTTCGCCATGTTTGCCAGGCTGGTCTCAAACTCCTGACCTCAGGTGATCCGCCCACCTCGGCCTCTCAAAGTGCTGGGATTATGGGCGTGAGCCACTGCGCCCGGCCCCAGCTTCTGAATAGGTCTTCCTTAATTTAGTCAAGCTAAGACCCAGAGTTAACCTTCACAATGTTCCTCATCCTATCACTTGAGGGCCTGAACAGAACAAAAAGATAGACCTCCATGAGAAAGAAGAAATTCTCCAGCAGGCTGCCACCAAACTTCATCTGCACCATCCAGTCTCCTGGGTCTTCAGTCTGCCAGCCTGCACTTGACTTGCCTATACAAGCACACGAGCTACTTCCTTATTTTATATATATATGTGTTCTCTCTCTCTCTCTCTCTCTCTCTGTTGGTTCTGTTTTCTCTGGAGAACCCTAACACACCACCTTATTGAAAGGATCAAAGTTAAAATTGCCAGTAACAGTAACTGACATGTACATCCTCCCAATGAGATACAGTGAGAAGGATACAACGTCACTTATGTGGTGTTCCTACTGAAAGTGCATATCCTGAATCTAATTATGAGGAAACAACAGACAAACTCAAACTGAGGGACATTCTACAAAACAACTGGCAAGTAAAATGTGTCAGTATCACAAAAGACAAAAAGGAGAAACTACTCCCAATAAAAGACTCTTAAAAGCTGGGAGTGGTGGCTCACACCTATAATCCCAACACTTTGGGAGGCTCAGGTTGGCAGATTACTTGAGGTCAGGAGTTTGAGACCAGCCTGACCAACTTGGTGAAACCCCGTCTCTACTAAAAATACAAAAATTAAGCAGGCATGGTGGTAGGCGTCTATAATCCCAGCTACTCAGGAGGCTGAGGCAGGAGGATCGCTTGAACCTGGGAGACAGAGGTTGCAGTGAGCCGAGATCACGCCACTGTACTCCAGCCTGGGTAACAAAGATAGACTTCGTCTCAAAAAAAAAAAAAGCCAGGCGTGGTGACTCACACCTGTAATCCCAGCACTTTGGGAGTCTAAGGCGGGTGGATCACCTGAGGTCAGGAGTTTGAGACCAGCCTGACCAACATGACAAAACCCTGTCTCTGCTAAAAATACAAAAATTAGCTGGGCATGGTGAGGTGCCTATAATCCCAGCTACTCGGGAGGCTAAGGCAGGACAATCGCTTGAACCCAAGAGGCGGAGTGTGCAATAAGCCAAGATCGTGCCACTGCATTCCAGCCTGGGCAACAAGAGCAAAACTCCGTCTCAAAAAACAAACAAACAAATAAAAGACTCTAAAGCAAACTATCAACTAAATGCAACCTGTGATCCTGGATTGAATGGGAGAGGGGAGTATCTATAAAGAACATTTTGCAACAATTAGTAAAATGGGAATATTGACTGTAGTTTAGATAATCGTATTGTTTCAAAGTTAAATCTGTTATGTAAGAGTATGTCCTCGTTCTTAAGAAACACAAACTGGGCCAGGCACTGTGGCTCACAAACTGGGCTAGGCATGGTGGCTCACACCTATGAAAAGATGGCTACTGCCTGGACCTTTGTAATCTCAGAACTTTGGGAGACTGAGGCAGTTGGATCACCTGAGATCAGGAGTTCGAGACCAGCCTGGGTGACATGGTGAAACCCTGTCTCTACTAAAAATACAAAAATTAGCCAGGCATGGTAGTGGGCGCCTATATTCTCAGCTAGTCAGGAGGCTGAGACAGGAGAATCACTTGAACCAGGAGGCAGAGATCACAGTGAGCTGAGATTGCGCACGCTCCAATGTACTCCAGCCTGGGCGATGGAGTGAGATTCCATCTCAAAACAAAGTAGGCCAGGCGCAGTGGCTCACGCCTGTAAGCCCAGCACTTTGGGAGGCTGAGGCGGGTGGATCACGAGGTCAGGAGACTGAGACCATCCTGGCTAACAGGGTGAAACTCCATCTCTACTAAAAATACAAAAAAATCAGCCAGGTGTGGTGGTGGTCACCTGTAGCCCCAGCTACTTGGGAGGCTGAGGCAGGAGAATGGCGTGAACCCAGGAGGCGGAGCTTATAGTGAGCCAACATTGCACCACTGCACTCCAGCCTGGGCAACAGAGCGAGACTCCATCTCAAATAAATAAATAAATAAATAAAATTAAAAATAAATAAAAATAAAAATAAAAAAGTTAGCCAGGCATGCTGGCGTGCAAGTGTAGTCCCAGCTGCTCTGGAAGTTGAGGCATGAGACTCACTTGAATCCGGGAGGTGGAGGTTGCAGTGAGCTGAGATTGAGCCACTGCACTCCAGCATGGGCGAAACAGTGAGACTGTGTCTCAAAAAAAAAAACTACACACACACACACACACAAACTGGCTGGGCATGGTGGCTCCCAGCTGTAACCCCAGCACTTTGGGAAGCCAAGGGGAAAGGACCCTTCGAGCCCAAGAGTTCAAGCCTGCAGTGAGCTATGATTGTGCCACTCCACTCCAGCCTGGGTGACAGAGTGAGGCCCTGTCTCTGGAAAAAAAAAAAAAGAAAGAAAGAAAGAAAGGAAATAAAAGACAAACCGAAGTGTTTAGGGGTAAACAGGTATGATATGTAAAACTTAGTTTGAAATCATTTAGAAAAAAATGCTTTCTTTGCAACTTTTGTAGAAGTTTTGAAGTTATTTTAAAATACAAAGTTTAAAAATTGCTGAATTGTTTGACGTCTTTCGTGAGGGGAGGGACCTGCTACTGTCTTGTTTTCTGCTGTAGTTCCAGCTGTAGCACGTCATAGGCTGCAACAAGAAATATTTCTTGAGTTAACGAATGAATGAATGAACTAAACCCTCTTCCAATTTGGGTTTCAGGCAGAGGATGGGATTTTGGAAGTCAAGCTTTAGACAGCAAGAGGCAAAATTCCTCTCTTTCTTTAGGTGTATCTCTTCTGGAGCTCCAATCTGAGAGGGTAGATCATCTAAACTTTGGGGAAGCAAGACCTCTGCCCTCCCAGGGCAGACAGGCAGACCACAAGCAGGAGATAATTGAGTCGTACTTTGCAACAAGAAGACCTGGCTGAGTGCCATTTTCTAAGTTGGTTCCCTCAGGTTCACCCTATTCCCCACATCACTACCACCCTTGGTTAAGATTTTTTTTTTTTTTTGTAATTGTTATGGAGACGGTGTCTCCCTATGTTGTCCAGGCTGGTCTTGAACTCCTGGGCTCAAGGGATCCTCCTGCCTTGGCCTCCCAAAGTGCTAGGATTATAGGCATGAGCCACCACACCAGGCCAGTTAAGATTTATTGATATGTTCTATCCCCAGTCTGGGCAGTGGTATCCTGGGGGCCAAGTTTGAATCTTCCCTCTTGGGCCAGATCAGAGGAAAAGCAGCACTCTGTAGGCCAGCATGGTGGTGGCTGAGGTGAGCAGATGCCTGGATAGGGACCCTGGTGGCCACAATACATTATAAATATATACAATATTTGTCAATTTAAAAATTGAAAAGCCAGGCACGGTGGCTCACGCCTGCAATCCCAAAATTTGGCAGGCTGAGGTGGGCAGACCACCTGATGTCAGGAGTTCAAGACTAGCCTGACCAACATGGTGAAACCCCGTATCTACTAAAAATACAAAATCAGCCAGGCGTGGTGGCAGGCACCTGTAATCCCAGCTACTTGGGAGGCTGAGGCAGGAGAATAGCTTAAACCTGGGAGGTGGAGGTTGCAGTGAGCTGAGATCACACTCCAGCCTGGGCAAAAAGAGCGAGACTCTGTCTCAAAAATAATAATAAGAAGAAATGTTAAAAAATTTTAGACCAGGCATGGTGGTTCATGCCTGTAATCCCAGCACTTTGGGAGGCCAAAGTGGGCAGATCACGAGGTCAGGAGATTGAGACCATACTGGCTAGCATGGTGAAACCCCGTATCTACTAAAAATACAAAATATATATATATATATATATTTATAAGCCGGGCGTGGTGGTGGGTGCCTGTAGTCCCAGCTATTCGGGAGGCTGAAGCAGGAGAATGGCATGAACCCGGGAGGCAGCGGAGGTTGCAGTGGCTGAATAACAGCTCACTGCAGCCTCAAGCTCCTGGGCTCAATCAGTCCTTCCACCTCAGCCTCCCAAGGCATGTGCCACCACATCTGGCTAATTTTTAAATTTTTTGTAGAGATGGGATTTTACCATGTTTCCCAGGCTGGGTCTTGAACTCCTGGGCTCAAGTCATCCTCCTGCCTCAGCCTCCCAAGGTGTTGGGATTATAGGCATGAGCCACTATTCCAAGCCTTAATTAATTTTTTTAGTGACAGAGTCTGACTTTGTTGCCCAGGCTGGAGTGCAACGAAGTACAATCATATAGGTCATTGTAATCTTGAACTCCTGAACTCAAGGGATCCTCTTGTCCCAGCCTCCCAAGTAGCTAAGACGACAGGCACACACCACCACATCTGGCTAATTTTTAAATTTATTTATTTATTTATTTATTTATTAGAGATGAGGATCTCACTATGTTGCCTGGGCTGGTCTTGAACTCCTGGTCTCAAGGGGTTCTCCTGCCTTAGGCTCTCGAAGTGCTGAGATTACAGGTGTGAGTCACCGCCAACCAGTTAAAAGCTTTTATAACATCCATCACTCTTGTAATGCAGCACTTATCTCAAGCTACTGTAACTGCATATTTCTCTGCCCTTTTCACTGAAGTGTGAGACTCTTCTAGGAAGAGGCTAAATCTTTTCAGCTCAATATCCTCCTATGGGCCGGGGAAGGTGGCTCATGCCTGTAATCCTGCACTGCGGGAGGCTGAGGCAGGCAGATTGCCTGAGCTCAGGAGTTCAAAACCAGCCTGAACAACATAGTGAAACCCTGTCTCTACTAAAAATCCAAAAAATTAGCCGGGCATGGTGGTGCTCACCTGTAATCCCAGCTTCTCAGGAGGCTGAGGCAGGAGAATCACTTGAACCTGGGAGGCAGAGGTTGCATGCAGTGAGCCAAGATTGCTCCACTGCACTCCAGCCTGGACGACAGGGCGAAACTCTGTCTCAAAAAATATATCTATATATCTATATATCTATATCTATATCTATCTATATCTATATCATCTATACTCCTATGGCTACCACGTAGCCCACTCCATGCTATCCCTTAGGCTGGTCTCGGATCTCCTCTTGGAACATGGTTCCTGCGCTGTCCTGTGCCGTCACCTTCTGCCCTTGGCTGCCATGCTGCTGCCTCACCACCAGAGACCCTTCTTTTTTTTATTATTATTATTATACTTTAAGTTCTAGGGTACATATGCATAATATGCAGGTTTGTTACATATGTATACTTGTGCCATGTTGGTGTGCTGCACCCATCAACTCGTCAGCACCCATCAACTCATCATGCACACGTATGTTTATTGCGGCACTATTCACAATAGCAAAGACTTGGAATCAACCCAGATGTCCATCAGTGACAGACTGGATTAAGAAAATGTGGCACATATACACCATGGAATACTATGCAGCCATAAAAAAGGATGAGTTTGTGTCCTTTGTAGGGACATGGGTGCAGCTGGAAACCATCATTCTCAGCAAACTATCGCAAGAACAGAAAACCAAACACCGCATGTTCTCACTCATAGGTGGGAACTAAACAATGAGATCACTTGGACTCGGGAAGGGGAATATCACACACCAGAGACCCTTCTTACTACCCCACCCCAGGTTCCAGGCAGCCAGCACTGACTCCCCACCCCCTGCCCCTCAGCCTGCAGAGTACCCTGCGCTTTCCGTGGAGCCATTCATCTGTCTCTCCCTCCATTTGCCTCAGCTAAGGCGGCCTTCCTAGCAAGATCTCAGGGCTGGTCCAGCTTTCCAGTAAAGTTTGGCTTCTGCCAATGTGTGTGTCTGGTCTCTGATAGGGATGCTATCTTCCTGGGAGGCTGTCTTACATCCAAGCTCTCCTCAGGACCAAACAGAAGGACCTCTTTTTCCATTTCCATGTGTCGGAGACCTCCCTAATGACTGCTGTCTGCAAACTCATGTTTGTCCAAGGGCTACATGTAGCTCTTGGTTCATTTGTAGAAGGGGCAGAGCACAAGGTGTGGAAAGGTGACCACTGCGTGGACCTTTGTGAGACCCTCAGGACCAGGGCTGGTCCTACCTGAGGCCCTGGATCACCTGGAGGGACCATCAGCCCATCCACTGTTTCTCCCTAGGGCTGAAAGACGGACCCTCGTTCAGGATGAAGCTGAGAACACACTCAGTAGAGAAAGGGGGAGAGAGGTGAATGGAACCATGGCCCAGGCAGTATGGAAAGAGGGCTAGGACCCGGGTGGAGCTCCCTGTGTGTTGGGTCCATCTGACTGTGTCTGTGCTCCCTATATCGTTCCTGTGCACCTTCCACCCATGAAATTCCCTGGGAAAAGGTCGAGTTCTCTCCACCATGCTAAGTGGGGTGAGCAAAAGGAGATGGTTGGGGTTGAGGGCTCAGATGCTCAAGGAGGCAGGGAGCCCCCCAGGGGATGATCATTGGTGATAGTGGTTGAAATCAGAAGGATAGAGTTAATGCGGAAGAGTGAGAACCATGGGCCCCACTTGAAAGTCCACTTCCTACTGGCTGTCCTCCACCCCCAGCTCTCCTCAGGCTCTCTCTGCAGAATCTCAGTGTGGCATCTGTCAAAAAGCTTACATGGATGACCCCCAAACATGGTCATCTCCCCTCCCTTCCCCAGGGCTCTCAGACTCTCCCTCGGGGGTCCTGGGAGAGGTTTACCGGACCTTCCTACTTTTTGACAGTATAACATTGTCAAGCACATGCAAAGTCTGCCAATAACAAGGGGCCCTTCTGACAAGCAGAGATGTTTTCTCTTCAGGCGCTTCGGTGATGGGTGGGGGTCACTGCTATGAAGCGGCGGTCTGCAGCCATGAGAAGGCTCTTCAGGCTGGAAGGCTTCACTCCCAAGACCCGCACAACTGAAGAGACCAAGGGGTTACAGGCTGACGGAGCTATCGCGCACACCCTCCCACCCCAGCAGAAGTGGGCAGTCGGCACTGCAGCGATGCCAAGGCCGGTTGTTTGGGGGTGGGAGGAGGTCGCTGCAGTGATGAAGAATCCCTGCTTGGAGTGAGTGGTCACTGAAGTGGCTGCATGAACTAAAAGTACCTGCAGGGATGGGGGAGGTTTTCTGCGGTGATGAAGAGCACTTTGCAAAGGAAAGGGATTGGCTTCTTGCGGGAAGAGTCCTGCGGTGACGGTGATGGGGGGCTGAGGTTCGCTGCAGTCAGGAGGGAGGGTCTCTGCAGCGATGGGAAGCCACCCAGGGCAGGGGGTGGGGTGGGCTGGGGAATGGGATGCCGTCCTATTGGATAGCTGGGGTCGCGGCAGTGCGGGTGGCACTTGCAGGACGCCTTATTCCTGAAGAATGGAAAGGGTGGGGTCTCTGAGGCCTCGGTCCCGCAGTGACGGGGATCCGTGCGGCGGCGGGAACGCGGTCCCTGCACTGCGGTGCCCAGTCTGGCTCGGGCTGCCGCGGCTGGCGCGGAGGCGGTACCTCGCCCGAGGGAGGGGGGAGCGCCAGCCCCGCCGCAGCAGCAGCAGGCGGGGCTACGGCAGGCTGGAGGGGCGGCCTCTCAGAACGGGGGCGGGACCACCGCCGGCAGGGCCCGCGCCCCTGCGGGGACTCAGAGCCGCCGCAGCCAGAGTCGCTAGCTGGCGGCCGGCAGGTGCCGGGACCCAGGGCCACCCGGGACGCAGAGGCGGCACTAACCACACGGATCCCGTGGGCGCCTAGAAATCCGCGGAGGACGCGACGGTGAGGCTGAAGCTGCCACTGGGAGGGGGGCGATCCCCAGAGCCAGCCCGCGGCATCCCTTGCGCGGGCCGCGGCGACTGCAGGTGCCCCCTCCTCCCACATCAGCTCTGCCGGGCTGGGAAGCGATGCCCTGGCGGCTCCCATGGACTCTCCCCTGGCCCGACACCTCTCCCGGGCTTGCCTCCCGAAGAACCCCTCTTTTCGCTTTCCCAGCTCGTTCTTCCCACCCTTAACCCCTCCACTCCAGCCAGCACCCCGGTCGGATGAGGCACCAGGGAGAGAAAGACCGAGGCCCTTTCGGCGCCCCCTCCACCCTGCCCCCGCCGTCCCTCGCCAGGCCAGAGGCCTCGGGGGGTGGAATTCGGGCCCTTTTAAACCTCCGCCCTCCCGGAGCATCTTCCATCTCCACCCGCGCCGCTTCCGACAGCTGGCGGCCGCGGGGAGCCCCGGGGGGCCGGCATGTACGGGGGTGGCAGCGAGGTTGGGAGCGGGCGGTGGAACAGCTGTGACCGCCCCCACCCCTGGGGGAGCCTCGGCGGGACTGCTGGGCGCCCGAGCGCGCGTTAATCATTAACCCTCCGCGGCCCGGCTGACCAGGTAACGCGTGAGGATGCCCCCCTCGCCTCCACGCCCTCCGCCCCCTTATCTCCCCCGCCACCTGTCGCCCGCAGGAGCCCCCGCTCGGCCTCGCGCCCCGACAGGCCCCGTCCGGGCGTTGGAGTGAGACTCTCGCGCTGGCCTCTGGAGCGCGGGGTGGGCGCCCCGTCACCTTGCGCCCAGCTCCCCAGGCCGGTTCGCGTAGGGCCGGCCTCCCGGCGCCATGCCCGGCCTGTACTGCCCCTCCAGCTGGACGCCGCTGCCGCTCACGGACTCCTGGGTCCGGGCCTGCGCCAACGGCCCCTGCCTTAGCGTGCGGGCCCGGCTCACCTACCGCAACCCGCAGCCGCACCCGGTGGACGGTGAGGTCCGGGTGGGGCGCGGGCGGGGAGGGGGGTGAACCGGGCGGGGTCCGACGCCACCTCCCGCCGCCCTCCGCAGGCGTGTTCGTGTACCCGCTGGCCGAGGCCGAGGTGGTGTCCGGCTTCGAGGCCGAGGCCGCCGGACGGCGCGTCTCCTTCCAGCTGCAGAGCCGGCGCCGCTCGCAGGCCGCCTGCTGCCGCGCTCTGGGCCCCGGGCTGGGGACCCCGACGCCCCGCCGCTGCGCGCAGGGTGAGTCCGACGCTCCCGCACCTGCGCTCCTGAAGGCCCGGCGCAGCTCAGGCTCCCGCACCCGCTCGGCCTACGCCCGTCCCCCGCCTTCCTCCAGGCGCTGCCTTGTGCATTCATTGGCTCATCCTCGTATTCAACAGTCGTGGGCTGGGCACCTGACCTGTGCCAGGTGCTGGGAGAACATGACCCTGAGGTTCACAGCCAGGGAGACAGACATAGCAGGCAGCACAGGGCTTGCGGGGGCGCCAGCAGCCCTTACAGCCCAGGAGATGGGTCTCTCTAGGGGGCTGCAAAGGGAGCCTTCTCCCCAGCTGGTCCCCTCCGCCCCCTTACTTTTTTAGGCTGCACACCTCAGCCAGGTCCCGCGTGGGCCAGTGGATCAAGTGTAGACTCCTGTGCCTAGCAGCCAAGGCCCTCAGTCTCACCCCATTCCATCCCTTTCCCCGCGATCCCACACACCAGGTACCACCGCCACTGGCCACACTGACTGACAGGTCCCTTCCTACCTCTCTGCTCTGTCTTCCCATCTTCTATTGAGCAAATTCCTACTTGTCCTTTAAGGTCCACTAAACGTCACTCCTTGGGAAACTCTCCCTGACTCCCCCACAAATAATTAGCTGCACTGTTTCCTGGCTCCCCAGCCTTTTGTGCCCCCTCCATTATGGCACTTACAGGCGGAGTCATTGTCACAGATCTGCCTGTCTGTCTCCCTGCTGGAGCATCTCCAAATCCCAGCACCTCACACAGAACCTGGCACTATGAGACCCAGTGAGTGCCTGGGGAAGGGACAGAAGCCCAGCCCTGTGCTGTGTGCTGTGTTTGCACCTGGTTCTTTCATTGATTCATTCATACATGCCTTTGATTCCTGCCCATGGGATTTACAATCCAGGTAAGAAAAGGAACAGAATCTGGTGGTGTTGAGAGCTGGCATAAGCCCAGCAGGTTGGGAGGCTCATGGTTAGAGGCTAGAGTGAGCTCTGGGGTGAGGCCCCAGGAATGTTCCAGAAGGAGGGAGAGCCAGCATTTGTCTGCAAGAAAGGGTAGGACTCAGGTGGAAGGTAGGGGCAACAGTATAAGCAAATGCTTATAAGTAGGTTATAGTGGGTAATGACAATAAAATGCCTCATATTTACAGTGATTTGCAGTTTACAATCGCTAGTATCACCTCATTTGAATCCTGAGTAGTGGGTAATGCTGGCTTCTTCCTGTTATGAGGGATGGAAGGGCGATAATCCCGCTCCCTCCTGTTATGGGGGTTGAAAGTCATAGCTGGGGTCACTGACTTACATGTTGGGTGCTTTGCATACCGCATTTGTTCCTCCCCACAATCACAGATGAGGAAACAGGCTCCTCAGAACAAGACAGTTGCCAAAGGACTCAATTAGAGGTCACAGAGCTGATATTTAAAACCTGATGCTGTGCTCTCTCCACTATGTCAATTGGCTGGAATGGAAGCCCCTTTCTTTCTCTCTTTCCATCTTTTTCTTCCCTTCAGTTATTCAGCAAGTATTTACTGAAAGGATGAACAATTGGTCATTGTGAGGAAGTGAGGTACAGTAGGGCTGTGAAGGTGGGCTGGGGCCAGACCACGTCGGTGGTGTACACAGCTGCCACTGTACATGGCTGGTCATTATTCCTTTAGCAGCCCCCCGAGTCCCCAAATAAACCTAGGAGCTAAATAAAACAGTGTGTGCAGTGTGCAAATGGAGCTTTATGTCCTCTAGCCTGCTTCCTGCTTCTTTGTTCCTCCTGCCTGGGAGGAGTAGAGAATTCTGGAGCCACCTTAGTGGGCAATGGGGGAGCTCCTGATGGTTCATGAGCAGGAGATTTATGAGCAGAGTGGGGTCCCAGGCTACAGGGAGATGTCTATCCACAAGGGATGGTGACCAAGGGCTGAATGGAAAGAGGCAGGCAGGGGGAGAGGGGCAGAGGGTGTGGGTATTCCCAGGGCCTTGAGAGTGGACATGGCCCCTTCTCTTCAGCCTTCCATTAGCAAGGATGTCACTGAGCTCTTGCCTGATGACAGCCAGATCTTTCCACAGTTAGTCTGCCTCTCCTGCTATCATTCATCTCATGCCTCCATTCTGTGTCACCAATGCATTAGCCTAGTGCCAACACGCAAAGTCCCCTTTGCCCAGGCTCCCTGACCCGATGCCTGCTCCCACCTCTAGCTTCCTCCCTCTTCTCTGCTCCCAGCGTGCTCTGACCCCATTTCTCACCCATCATAGGTCATCTTGTCTTGGATCTGGCCCAGGCCCGGTCCACGTTGGTGCTGCCCACAGGCCTTATCGCCGCGGCTGGCACCATGACGGTGACCCTGCACAGCAGCCGGGAGCTGCCCTCAAGGCCTGACGGGGTGCTGCATGTGGCCCTGCCCACTGTGCTCACCCCACTGGCCCCGCCAGGCCCGCCGGGGCCCCCCAGGCCTCCGGGGCTCTGTGACGACAGGTTGGGCCTATGGTGATTCTCTTCGTCCCTCCCTCGGCTTCTCTGGGTCTAGTGCGGGTGAGGGGGCATTGGCAGGGTACCCCAGGGGATGGGAAGGGTGAGGAAGGGCTGGGGCCAGTCAGCCGGAGGGGTTAGGGGCCTTCACGGTGGCCCAGTGACCCTTCTCGTGCTCCCTTCCAGCCCCACCAGCTGCTTCGGGGTGGGCAGCCCTCAGGAGGAAGGGCTGGCGTGGGAGGAGCCAGCTGCCCCTCAGGACGTGTTCTCAGGCCCTGCCCGATGCCCTGCCCCATATACCTTCTCCTTCGAGATGCTGGTGACTGGGCCATGCCTGCTTGCAGGTGGGTGCATCTGGCTGGCCTGCCCTCTTTTCAGATGCCCACTCCTCCCAGTGTAGTGACTGGAAAGGAAATAAGGCTCAGGGATAGGAGGGACACAGGACAAAAAGACAGGGACCCAAGCCTCAAGAACATCTGGGTTAGCAGTGGGAGCATTCCCTGGTCACCTCTACCTAACACACACCCCCCTAATTTTATCAAGGTAATTTATTTATATCTCATCTCACCCACCAGTGGGAAGAGAGATACTACAATGGGACCGGTACCCGTGAGGAAGTAGCTTTTCCTTATGCAGAAGATGGGGGGTGGATGCTAAATCAGCACCTGGCTGATGCATCACTCTTCAACCAGCCAGAAACCCAGCTGGAATCTACTTCCCTGCCCATGAAAGCAGGCACATCCTCCCTCGTCCATCTGACCCCTATGATCAGACTCTGAGAGCTGACTGAATCAGCCATGACCCCTGCCAACAGTTGCTGTCCCTGGGAAGGTGTGATGGCTGCATCTCCCCTTCCTGCCTCTGTGTCCCTCAGGCCTGGAGAGCCCCTCTCATGCCCTGCGGGCAGATGCCCCTCCTCATGCCAGCTCTGCAGCCACCATCTGTGTCACACTGGCAGAGGGCCACCACTGTGACCGGGCCTTGGAGATCCTGCTACACCCCAGTGGTGAGAGACTGGGACACACCGTGGGTCACCCCTGACTTGCTTCTGTATGAATGGGGGAAGCATTTCTCGAGTACAGGTTTCTGGGCCCCAGCCAGATGGACTGAGTCATCTGTGAGGGCGGAGCCTGTGGTGTAGGAAGGCTGGACCTGCAGGCTCCTCCCGGACAGTGAAACTGGGCACTTGGGGTCCAGAGGCAGGGACTTCCTTGACAGAATTGTGTCCTCTCCTCTCAGAACCCCATCAGCCACACCTGATGCTGGAGGGCGGCAGCCTGAGCTCAGCAGAATATGAGGCCCGGGTAAGGGCCCGCCGAGATTTCCAGAGGCTACAGCGAAGGGACAGTGATGGGGACCGGCAGGTACTGCCATAGGAGCCTGGCCTGGCCCCCAGCCTTGGCTGCATTTGTGCACAAGGAGCAGGCAAGCAGGCTTACATTGGGATGGGCACGGGGAGGCCTCTTTCTCAGCAAGATCTCTCCACAGCTGCCACCCCCCCATCACAGAGGGCAGATGAGTACTGTCACTGGAGGGCCGATGTGAATCTTTCTGGGGTGTGTCTCAGAGGATGGAGGCTAGGTCTGATATAAACAGAGGACAGCCACCAGCCTTTGCCCCTGCCTTTATTCTAATTACTACAAAAAGATGTCCCCTCTGGGTGGATCAGACAGAAAAAGGCCCCAGAGCCAGTCCCACTGCCCAGCCTCAACAAAGTAGCACTAAGCCTTGCCCAGGCTGATTTGGGACTCCCCTGCTCAGGTGTGGTTCCTGCAGCGACGCTTCCACAAGGACATCCTGCTGAACCCTGTGCTGGTGCTGAGCTTCTGCCCGGACCTGAGCTCCAAGCCCGGACACCTGGGGACAGCTACTCGGGAGCTACTCTTCCTGTTGGATGGCAGCAGCGCGGCACACAAGGCCCGTGCGGGTGTGGTGTGGGCAGGCCTGGGGGTGGGGTGGGGCAGTAGGTCTGTGGTGGGCTGGGGGCAGCCTCTTGAAGCCAGGAGTTACCTTGTTGCTTCAAACACCATCTTCCAAAGAGGAAGCAGATGGCAACTCCTCAGGGGATTCCTGCAGAGCGCAGCCTTGCTGCAACCACCAAACAGACACTGTCACGCTCTCTTGCTCATATCCACGCACACACGTCTCTCCAGGATTCCAAGAGCCTCTCATACATAGACTCGCACTCAGTCACAGGGAGTCACTCCAATCACGGGGAGACTCAAGTTTCATGTATGCCTCCAGAGTCCCACACACAGTCTCTCACACACACTCGGGGGCTCACTGGCACAGAGGCTTTCCCTAACATCCAGGACCTCTCCCAGGTTACCACAGCCTCTCATTTGAATCACAGCTTGGATAAGGCAGCGATCTGGCTTCCCTTGCTCTCTATCAGGGCCCATGGGGCCGGCCTCATGCCGCCCTCCCTGGCTCTCCACAGGATGCCATTGTTTTGGCTGTGAAGTCCCTCCCGCCTCAGACGCTTATCAACCTGGCCGTGTTTGGGACGTTGGTGCAGCCACTCTTCCCAGAGAGCCGGCCTTGCAGTGATGTGAGTGTGGTCCAGGGATTCTGGGGGTCTTACATAGAGGTTTCAGCCCAGTGCGTCCCAGCCTGTACCTTCTCTCTCCAGGACGCTGTGCAGCTGATCTGTGAGAGCATTGAGACCCTGAAGATTCCGAGCGGGCCTCCAGATGTGCTGGCTGCTCTGGACTGGGCCATGGGGCAGCCCCAGCACAGGGCCTACCCTCGGCAGCTGTTCCTGCTCACTGCTGCCTCACCCATGGCTGCCACTACCCACCGAACCCTGGAGCTCATGAGGTGGCACAGGGGGACAGCCAGGTATGGGATGGGCAGAGCCAGATGCCTAAGATTGAGCCCGCACAAGGGGCTCCTGAAGATCACAGCTGCTTCCTTTCCCTCATCAGATGCTTCTCCTTTGGGCTGGGGCCCACCTGCCACCAGCTGCTCCAGGGTTTATCTGCCCTCAGCAGGGGCCAGGCCTACTTCCTGAGGCCTGGGCAGAGGCTGCAGCCCATGGTGAGCTTGAGCCTGGGCCCTGTTCCCTACACCTGAAAGTTTTTCTTCCAAGTTACACATCAAGTCTGAAACAGAACTCAGGCAGGCCATGGGGGCTCCTGGCGCCCTCACCAGGCCTTCTCCCCACTCCACCGGGGAAGAGCTGTTGGTGCTGTGAAGGCCAAAGGTGTCGGGACACTATCTCTGACCACCCTCTGAATCTCATTTAGTCCTGGAACTGAGCCTCCTCTTCACAGTCCTGCTCCATCCATGTGGCAAAGCTCAGGCCAGGAGACAGACCAAATCCTGAGAACTGGGCACTCAGGCCCCTGCTTGCTCCTACCCTCATTCCTTCTCCTGACCCCAGCCTGAACCTGTGCCCCACCAGCTCAGGGGCTGGGCAGATGGCATCAAGGGAAGGGCAGCCTTCCTGCTGTGTCTGGCTGTATGACACCTCTTTCCCTCCCATGTCCTCCCTCTGGCCACCCCACAGCTGGTGCAGGCTCTGCGGAAGGCACTGGAGCCTGCCCTGAGTGATATCTCTGTGGACTGGTTTGTGCCCGACACCGTGGAGGCACTGCTGACCCCCCGGGAGATCCCAGCACTCTACCCTGGGGACCAGCTCCTCGGTTACTGCTCACTCTTCAGGGTGGATGGCTTCCGGCCCCGTCCACCAGGGGTAGGCCTGGGCTAGGGTATGGTAGGGGGGCTAGGATGTGGTAGGGGGGCCTGGGATGGCTGAAGTCCCCGCATCTCTTCCAAACCCTTTTTCCATTCTCTGTGCCTCTCTCTACCAAGCTCCTCTACTATCCCCTAGGGCTCCACAGAGATCACACTGGGTCCCCCAAGATGACCACACCCTGCCGCCTTCATCGGGTCTTCCACTGAGTTGTCCTGCAAAGTGTTGCCCCTGATTTTTTACCCAAGGTCATTAAAGCACACAGCCACAGAAAACAGCACCCGCATTTGCCATGAGGTTTCTGTCAAGGCTTGCTCAAGGCTTCACATAGTTCCCTACAGAAAGCACCAGCCAATGTATTTTCTGGGACACGCAGTTATGGATGAGCATAACCTAGACGCAATCTCTAATCCCAGCTCTGTCACTTGCCAGCCATTTGATTTGAGCAAGTCACTTCACCTCACTGACCCATTTCCTCATATGGAAACGATGTTGTTCACAGGTGGCTGTCATCAGGGGTCATAAAGTGAGTAGTTTTGGCAGGACACTTGACACAGTAGGAGCTGGAGACATGGTAGTTATTTTTTAATGAAAAGCCTTATCTCTTTAGAAGAACTATGCATACTTCCTCCTTTTTGATCATGAGAGCTGTATAATAGACTTTTTTTTTTTTTTTTTTGCCTGGCTGCCAGGGAGCTCAGGGCCAAACTTAAAGCTCAGCTTCCCAGCAGCTCTATTAAGCCTTACGGTGAACATGTTTGCTTCCTCCTTCTTTAGTACTGGTCTTTTGTTTCTGGTTTATTAGCTTTGTTGCCTCTTGCTATAAGCCATCTAAAAATCCTGTTTGGAAAGAGGTAGCATATAACTGCAGCTAATTTTTTCCCAATAATACTCTCTCTAGGGCCAAGAGCCTGGCTGGCAGAGCTTGGGTGGGTCCGTGTTTCCATCCCCAGAAGAGGCCCCATCTGCTGCCAGCCCTGGCACTGACCCCACTGGCACCTCGGAGCCACTGGGAACAGGCACTGTGTCAGCAGAACTGTCCAGCCCATGGGCTGCCGGGGACTCGGAGCGGAGTAAGTGCCCAGGTGTATGTGTGTGGCTATGTTGGAGTGGATACTGGGAGGGGTCAGGGCTGGGGTCCATTCTACTGCCTCCCAGCAGGTACTGATGCTCTGACAGACCCAGTCACGGACCCTGGACCCAACCCCTCCTCTGACACAGCCATATGGCGCCGCATCTTCCAGTCCTCGTACATTCGGGAGCAGTATGTGCTCACCCACTGCTCTGCCAGCCCCGAGCCAGGCCCAGGCTCCACAGGCAGCAGTGAGTCTCCAGGCTCCCAGGGTCCTGGCTCCCCCGAAGGTAGTGCTCCCCTGGAGCCCCCTTCTCAGCAAGGTTGCCGCAGTCTGGCCTGGGGAGAACCTGCAGGCTCCCGCTCCTGTCCCCTGCCTGCACCCACACCGGCTCCATTCAAGGTATGATGCAACCCACATTCATTCGCCTTGTATCCAGCAAATATTTATTTACCACCTGCTGTGTGCCAGACATTATGTGGAGCTTACTATTAAGTCTAGCTAGAGAGAAAGGTGGGTAAATCCCCAATGATAATACCATGTAACAACCAGTGATGAGCACAAGGACATGTATTATGGGGGCTTAAAGTCAGGGTGACTAACTCCGCTTGAGGGAGTCAGGAAAGTCAGAGCCATATCTGGAAGAATAAGCACAAGGTAGTCATGCAGAGAGGGAGAAGACATAAATGAAAACAGAGACAAGCAACAACCACAAGTGGGAAATAGGAAGTGGAGTGGGATGACGCTGGGAAGGGGCCAAGGCCAGAGGTCATTGTAGGCCATAAGGAACTTGGCCTTTCTCCTCAAGGTGGTGAGTGGCCGCCCAGGGTTTCAGACAAGGGGCATGGGCCAGCTGTGCACCCATGTATGATGGTCAGGGGTTCTGCATTCCTTGACCAGTGGCCCCCATATCTCACATTGCAGGTGGGGGCCTTGAGTACTGAGGTGCTGGGCCGTCAGCACAGAGCGGCTCTGGCTGGCCGAAGCCTCTCTTCACCTCCAGGCCGGGCAAACCAAGTCCCCGGCCGACCTCGCAAACCCTCTTTGGGTGCAATACTAGATGGCCCAAGTCCTGAGCCAGGCCAACAACTGGGACAAGGCCTGGATGACTCAGGTAAGTGTTGGATGGGGAGCTGGTTTCCCTGACACCAAGGAGGCCTTGGGGAGGTAAATCCCAGAGGACCACTCTGCTCATGCCCCTGTCTTGCCTTCCCAGGAAGCCTGCTCTCCCCAGCCCCCATGGACTGGGACATGCTGATGGAACCACCCTTCTTATTCACGGCTGTGCCTCCCAGTGGGGAGTCAGCCCCTCCGGCAGTGCCTCCCCAGGCTCCACGCTGCCATGTGGTGATCCGGGGCCTGTGTGGGGAGCAGCCTATGTGCTGGGAGGTGGGTGTTGGGCTGGAGACACTGTGGGGACCTGGAGATGGCTCACAGCCTCCCTCACCTCCTGTAAGAGAAGCTGCTTGGGACCAAGCACTCCATCGGCTGACAGCAGCCTCTGTGGTCCGGGACAATGAGCAGCTGGCCCTCCGAGGAGGGGCCGAGACCACAGCAGACCGGGGTGAGTGGCTCATGGGTCCAGTCAGGGCCCAAAGGCATGGGCTAAAAGCAGCAAAGGTAGAGGTCTGTGTGTTTGGTCACTCTCCATAACTCACTTTCATCACAAAGGATTTGAGGCTCACGTCAGACAAGATAAAAAATTAAGCAGGGCAATGGGAAAAAGTAAAAATAAAAGGAAACTGAGAATGAGGTTATATTATATTAAAGGTGCATGCTGTGAGGTGATACACTCTTGCAAGGATCGGATCCAGGACTGACAAGCTTCCTAGCAGCCAGCTCAGAGGGCAATGTGATCCTGTAATGATTCAGAGCACCCACACATTAAAACAAATCTTTGTCATTTAGGAAAATACTTAGAGTTCATTTCCTCAGTTGCACTAGCCACAGCTGAAGTACTCAATAGTCTTATGTGACTATGGCTACCACACTGGATCACGAAGAGAGAATATTTCCAAGTTCTGTTAGTGCAGAAATAGGTGGAAGAAAAGGTGCTTCCTCTGGGTGGTGTCCAGAGTGCTGAATTCTGGGCAGCCGGGGGCCCTTGTTCTGCTAGAGGTTGAAGGTTCAGCCTGACCACTTCTTGTCAAAGTCGGGGAGTCTGAGCTGGTTCTGGGCCTAGCAAGGCAATCTACTCTGTTAAAGTCGATAGAGGGAGAAGCTGGGGAGAACACTGCAATTTTTTCTATGAGCCCTCTGTAGAGGGTGGGTGGTGAGGGTTCCACAGACCACTCCTTGGTTCCACAGGCCATGCCCGGAGATGCTGGCTTCGAGCCCTTCAGACAAGTAAGGTCAGCTCTGCCCCTTCCTGCTTCACTTGCCCTGTAGCTGTGGATGCTACCACTAGGGAGGTCCTGCCTGGGGTCCTGCAAGTGTGCAGCTCAGGTAGGGGCCTCTTCTGGTGACCTCTCAGGTGCAGCTGTCACCTCACTGGCCACTCTCCTGGACAAACCTGACTCCTGTCCCCTGTGCCCCTGCAGAGCCAGCTGAGCCCCCAGGAACCCCACCTGCCGCTCACAGCCGTCTAGATGCAGCTCCTCTGCCTACTGTTGTCTACTCTAAAGGTAGGGAAAGGGTAGGGGCACTTGGACTTAGAGACCACCCGCTGGCACTGATGATCCCCACTGCAGGACTTCAGGGAGGCTCTCCAGCAGGCGCCTGGGACTCGGACCAAAATGGCAACTCCAAGTGTGCTTTGGGGGACGCTGCCACTCCCATGGAAGGTCCTCGCCGCCCACCTCCCCGTCCTCCCTCTCGGCTTAGCCTGGGCCACCGTCACAAACCCTGTAGACCTGACCTGGGCCAGGCCAACAACAGTGAAGGCATCGACCATGACTACCTGCCCCTGGTGAGGACTCGGGAGGTGGAGGGTGGCGCCGCCGGGGCCAGGCGCTGTCTAAGCTCGCTTCTCCCCCCACCTCCTCTCTCCTCAGGTGCGGCTGCAGGAGGCACCAGGCTCCTTCCGCCTGGACGCGCCCTTCTGTGCCGCTGTGCGCATCTCGCAGGAGCGCCTCTGCCGCGCCTCGCCCTTTGCCGTGCACCGTGCCAGCCTCAGCCCCACCTCGGCCTCATTGCCCTGGGCACTTCTAGGCCCTGGTGTTGGTCAGGGTGACAGTGCCACAGCCTCCTGCAGCCCGTCCCCCAGCTCGGGCTCCGAGGGTCCAGGCCAGGTGGACAGTGGGCGGGGCTCAGATACCGAGGCCTCGGAGGGGGCGGAAGGGCTGGGCGGCACCGACCTGCGGGGCCGGACCTGGGCCACTGCCGTGGCGCTGGCCTGGCTAGAGCACCGATGCGCTGCTGCCTTTGGCGAGTGGGAACTGACAGCAGCCAAGGCTGATTGCTGGCTGCGGGCCCAGCACTTGCCTGACGGCCTTGACCTGGCCGCCCTCAAGGCCGCAGCCCGGGGGCTCTTCCTGCTACTGCGCCACTGGGACCAGAACCTGCAGCTACACCTGCTGTGCTACAGCCCAGCAAACGTGTGAAGGCTGCCCGCTGCTGCTTGGGTTGGCGCCCCACCCAACACACTAAAGACACTGCCGCCCAGGACTGGCCTCTTGGTGCTGGGAAGGTGTAGGCTGGTGCCAGCCTGTCCCCCACTGCTTCTTACTCCCTCCCTAGAGCCCTCTTGCCCCCACAAGAAGTGCCTGCCTGTGCTCTCTCCCGCTCCTCCCACCCCACTCACCCTCCCCTCCATCCTCTGAGCTCCCTGCAGCACAGTGGAAGGGGAGAGAGCCACAGTCCCCAAATCCTATGCAATAAAGTGCCTCTTAGGACTGCTTCAGTGAATTCTTTATCTGTCCCACACATGTCCCTCACAGCCTGGACCAGGCATCAGTTGCCCCTACCTCCAAGTAGGTTGCACAGAGGTGGACTTAGCAAGGTTTATTTGGAAGGGCACAGAGTCCATCCCACCCCAGGTCCTGAGAGTGGACTGGAGGGAAAGGGGTGGATTTCAGTGAGCTTTCTTGCTGTGTTGGGTGCTCTTGGGGAAAGGCTGCAGGCCCAGCCAGAGCTGCAGCAGGATGACAGCATGGCATACATGCAGGGCAGCAGAGCTGCAGGATGTGGAGGGGTATGTGTTCCAGGAGAGCTCGATGAGCCCCAGCACCAACAACCTGGAGATGAGAAACAGGCTCCACGTTTTATCCAGTTTCAAGGCCTGCAGACCAGCAGCATGCCCTAGACATAAACCCCCAACAGGAACTCCCTATCCCTTCCCACTCCCCAGGTTGTCCCAGCTGGTACCTGAGCAGGTGTGTGAGCCAGCGTGCAGGCGTGGCCCACAGGAGGTAGGGCAGTGTGTGGAAATACCAGACATAGAACTGGTAGTGGAGGGAGCGGCTGAAGCAGATGCCAATGAAGTTGGAGGTGAAGAGGGTAGAAACAATCTGTATGCGGCAGTCAAGGCCAAGGGCAGGAGTGTGTGAGTTGGGGGCTATCCCAAAACAGAGGGGCAATAGTTTTGAGGTCACATAGCCCCCCAGCTCTGCCATTCCTTGATGCATGCCTTTGGACAAGTTTATTAACCTCTCTGGATCTGCTCCTCAACCGAATATGGAATATGGAAAGTAATACCTAGGGCCATAAGGCCTTGTAGGTTTGAACCCCTAACGTACTGGCTGTGTGACCTTGGTAAGTTACTTAACCTCATGAAGTCTTATTTTTTCCATCTGTAAAGGAAAATAGTAAATGTAAGTGTATCTCCCTATCTCGGAGTCTCTTGTGAGCTTTAAATGTTAGAACATATGTGAATCTCTTATGATAGTACCAGGGAGACGTAAGAGTAGCTCGTATTTAGAATTAAGAATCAAATATACCTCAATATGTGAAGTGCTCAGCACAGTGGTGCAGAATAGGACTTCTATGATTGGGGTCCCCTTTCCTCACCCAGGTCACCAGCTGTCAGGGGATACCTGACCAGGACTCTGTCAGCACCTAGAGAGGGCAAGACTTACCTTCCCACAATTTAAAGGATATGGTTAGGTGTAAGGGGCTGGGGTGGAACCTTCCTTTTGGAGGGATCCCTCAGGAGCGACAAGATACTTTCTCCTGTCCTGGGGAAAAGCCATTCAGATAGTTATCAAGCCCCTATTGTGAGTCAAACTCTAGACTCACCCCATGAGTTTAACTGACACTTCCCCCAAGCAGCCCCTAAGGCTTAGGCCATTCACTCCTTCCCCCAACTCTGCCCACGGCACTACCACCTTTTCTCACCTGTGCCACCTGCAGAGGGCAAACAGCAGGAGCAGGGTGAGGTGGGCAGCCAACAGGGCCAGGTGGAAGGCTCGATGCAGGAAGAGAGCCTCCGGGAGGAAGCGCCAGTTCACTGTCCAGCGGAACAGAAACTGGCGACCAAGGTCAAAGGAGCGGGACAGGTAGCCGATGGGGTTCTCCAGCAGGAAGGGCAGCCCCAGCACCACCTGAGGGTCAGTGTGATGTCAGCAGAGCTGCCAAGGCCCGTTCCCAATGACCAGCCTTCACGCTACTCATTGAGGGGTGTGGGACTGGGATGTAGGCCTCAGAGGTTCCCCAATTCCCACCAGAAATAGCAGGAAAACCACGCCCCCTGCCCCCACCTCAGGCCAGTGCCTGGGGCCAAAGAAGCTCAGGAGGGAGGTCATAACAATGCTTTAAGGTGTGGATTCACCAAGTCATAAATGGGCAGAGCAAGGAGAGCTCTCAGAAGCCAGGCAGGGTGGCTCATGCCCGTAATCCCAGCACTTTGGGAGGCCAAGGCAGGAGGATTGCTTGAACCCAGGAATTTGAGACCAGCCTGGGCAACCCAGCAAGAACCCATCTCAAAACTTAAAATTACAGGCGTGAGCCAGCACTTTGGGAGGCCAAGGCGGGTGGGTCACAAGGTCAGGAGATTGAGACCATCCTGGTGAACACAGTGAAACCCTGTCTCTACTGAAAATACAAAAAAATTAGCCGGGCGCAGTGGCAGGCGCCTATAGTCCCAGTTGCTAGGGAGGCTGAGGCAGGAGAATGGCGTGAACCCAGGAGGCGGCGGAGCTTGCAGTGAGCGGAGATGGTGCCACTGCACTCCAGCCTGGGCGACAGAGCGAGACTCCGTTTCAAAAAAAAACAAAAAACAAAAAAAAAACAAAACTTAAAATTAAAAAAATAAAAAGGCTCTCAGAGACCATCAAATGTAATACCCTATTTTACAGCTATGGAAACTATAGCCTAGAGATAGTAGCTTCCTAGCTCAGGATCAACTCCAAAACCCTGTCTCTTGGCTTTGAGGGAGTCTCAAGGATAGATCCCCTCAATCAAGACAAGTGGCTTCTCCTTGATTAGAAAGAGGAAGGGTGAGGTGGGGGTACCTGAAGGCCAGCACAGATGCCCAGCTTGGGGAGGGCCCCACGGAAGCCAAACTGCGTGAGGAGAAGAAACAGTAACCCAGGGGCGAAGAGGAGCACATTCATCTTCACAGAGACTGCCAGGCTGGGGTGAGCAGGGGAGAGGAAGGGTGGAGATCAGCTCCAGGGCCATGCACACAACACCCAAAGACATACCTCCCACCATCAGCACAGCAACCTCCTCCTGCCGCCTCGCCAGCAAACTCCAGGATGGGACCTACACTCACAGCTGCTGAAGGGAAGAGCGTGGAGTAGGCAGGGGCCAGATACATAGTCTCTCTGCCTACTGTATGCAAATAAGCATAAACTAAGTATGTAGAATGTGAAGGACTAATTCCAACAACGAATGCTGTCTGGGAGGAAGACAGGATGGAAAGAGGGCATGTGTGTATGCGGGGGGATGGCAGGGCAGAAACTTTCTATAGATCCTGGACTCGCTTTGTAGAGCCCTGAGTGGCCCACGCTGTCTTGGCTACTCCTTTACTCCCTCTGCTGCAGGAAATTGGGAAGAGACGGAAATGCAGAAAATGAGAGAGGGGGCCAGAAGGAAGAGGTGTTGACCTGAAAAAGCAGCAGCCCCAGCCCCAGCGCTGGGCCAACAGGAGGTTGATACTGAGGAAGAGCAGCACCATAGCCACTGGGTCATTGAAGAGCCGCAGCACAAAGATGGAGTGGACACGGTAAGAGGCACAGCACATGAAGAAAAAGACGAAGGGAGGTACCTAAAGGGTGAACACAGTAAGGAACAAGGTCAGCTCAGCAAGCCTGAGCCATTCCCACCACCCAGCCCTCCCAGGCTGGGGCCCTCTAGCCCCGGTAGCATGGATTCACCTTGCAGGTCTGGTGATAGATCAAGAAAACAAGCAGCAAGGTGGCCAGGTAGAGCACAGCAAAGATGTTCTGGGCCATGCGGATGTCAGTGCCTCGGCCAGTGGCATAGTACAGCCCCATAAAGATGTACACGAAACCAGCTGGGTACCTGGAAGATGAGAGAAAATGTGAGCCTGGGTCAGGCCACACAGACTAGTACCTAACCAGCCCCTCACATCCTCCCTGAACTTCCTGTCCCCACTCACACAAGTGGTCCGGTGTCACCCTGCAGTTGGGTATAGTCATAGGTACCATTGATGACGCCTTCTACCTGGGCCATGTATGCCTTCCAGTCAATCTCTGTATCTGGAAGAAGACAAGATGATCTGGTTATTTCTGAGTCTAGAACTTGTCTGCCACCCTCCCCATGCCTCCAGACCATCAAAACACAGACTTTCAGCCAATTCCCAGGGCTTCACTACCTCTTAATCTAACTCTTTATCTGACATTCTCTGGGTGAGCCCAGGCATCTCAAACTCAACATTTCTGTAAGTGAACTCGTGATCTTTCCTCCCACTCCAATCTACTCCCCTTCCTGGGTTCCACAGATGGCACCACTGACCTCTTAGCTACCAGGTCACGAACCTGAGTAATATCTTTGATACTCCCTCCTCTCTCATTTCCAACCCTTCGTCACCAAGTTCTGCCTGCTCCTCACCATAAATATTTCTATCTCATCCTTCTCTGCTACTACATACTTGGAGCCTAAAGTAATCTCTAGCCCCAGTGATTATATAATAGCCTGCTAATTAGGCCCCTGACTTCTACTTTCACCCTACTACGATGTATTTTCCACCTTGTACACCAAAGAGTTCTTCCTGAAATACAAATCGTAACAGGCCTCTGCTAAAAACCTCTCAATGATTTCCCAAGACCCTTAAGATAAAGAAAACTCTGTATTATTCCCCTTTTTAGAAAGGGAGCTTAAGAATTAATTAGGTTAAGTGACTGGCTTAAGATAATTGAGCTAGGATGGTGGAGTTGGGATTGAAGCTTGCAGGGTCCTAGGTTCTTAATTATCATGCTATCTTCTTAACAAAGCTTTCCAATTTCTTCATGATCTGGTCTCAATTTCTGCATTCCCATCTCTTACTACTCTCTTCACTTGATTTCTACACTCCAGCTCTAAAAAAATTATTTCAGTTCCTCAAAGGAACCAGGCTTTTTTTTTTTTTTTTGAGACAGTCTTACTCTGTCACCCACGCTGGAGTGCAGTGGCACGACCTCAGCTCACTGCAACCTTCGCCTCCTGGGTTCAAGTGATTCTCCTGCCTCGGTCTCTCGAGTAGCTGGGACTACAGGTGTGTGCCACCATGCCTGGTTAATTTTTTAAGTTTTGTATTTTTAGTAGAGATGCAGTTTCACCATGTTGGCCAGGCTGGTTTTGTTGTTGTTGTTGTTTGTTTTTTTTTGAGACAGAGTCTCGCTCAGTCACCCAGGCTGGAGTGCAGTGGTGCGATCTCAGCTCACTGCAACCACCATCTCCCCGGTTCAAGCAATTCTTCCATCTCAGCCTCCCAAGTAGCTGGGATTACAGACACC